TGCCATTAATTGTAATAATCCATTGAGATTTTTGTTTGCACAAGGAGTCCAGCAGCCAGTTCTTCATACAGAGATCGGATCTCACCATCGTCCAGTCTGTCTGGGATTACATGAAGAAACAGAACAAACTCAGACAGACTAAATCCAGGAGAACTGTGGCAATGTCTCCAAGATGCTTCAAGAAACCTACCTGCAAAGCTACAGTACTGTTAAACGTTTTAGGCACTTGTGTAAAAATGCTGTAAAATGAGGATGCTGTCAAAAATAATGTCATAAATAGATTTTCTTTAAATTACATCAACATTTGTTGTGACCATCCTTTGCGTTTAAAGCAGCTTTTGCCCTAGGTGCAGTTGAGCATAGTTTTTCAGGTAGCTTTGCAGTAGTTTGTTCTGTTTCTTCATGTAATCCCAGACAGACTGGATGATGGTGAGATCCGATCTCTATGTGAGAAGAACTGGCTGCTGTCAGACTCCTTGTGCAAACAAAATTATTACAATTATGGATTATTACAATTAATGGCAAAATGAATGTTTGGAAATGTAAACTGATATTTCCTACTGACACACTACAGCAAAATATAGAAATATCTGACTTAAAACCATTTTTAGCTGGTGAAAATACTAGTGCTCTAATAATTTTGGCCACCACTGTAAATAAAGACTGTAAACAAGTATGTATGGTTTTTACAAGTGAATGAATTTTGCTAGATTAATGGAATAATGTCAGTCTGTATTGACTTTTTGTTTTGTTTTACTAGGTATATGTGTTCACTGTCATTTTTTCACTACTCTGAGTACCTGGTTACTGCCATGACCAACCCGCGCAGTCTGTCTCTAGACTCATTCCTGCTCAACCATAGTGTTGAGTATGTAGTAGCAGCTATTTCCTCCTGGATAGAGTTCACTGTGGAACAGCTCCTTATTCCAGGTTTGATACGATCTAGGCCAGTGATTCGCAGGCAGAGTTTGATTATGCTTTGTCAAACCTATAGTGCTTAGCACATTCAGTTAAAAATAAAAACTGAAACATAATAATGCAATATAAAATAATATAATATATTGCCAAAGCTTTGTTTGTTTGTTTGTTTATTTTAGAGTGATTGAAATGAAATTATTCTAAAGTTTACAGAATTATTATTATTATTATTATTATTATTATTATATGAACTATTCAATTCAGAATATATATATATATATAATTTTTTTAAAGAAGTTTTGTGTTCATCAAGGCTGTATATATTTGATAAAAATGCTGTACAATCAGTTATATTGTGAAATATTATTACAATTTAAAATAACTATTTTTCCTATTTAAATACATTTTAAATTAATTTATTCCTACGATAGCAAAGCTAAATTTTCAGTAGTTATTATTCCAGTCACCAGTGTCATATGATATCATCATATTCTCATATGCTTGCTTGTCTGGTGCTGATCTGGTGCTTATTATCAATGTTAAAAATGTTTTTGCGTCTTAATATGTTTGTGGAAACCTTAATACCTTGATATTCCTTGATGAATAGAAAGTTCAAAAGAACAGCATTTTTTACTGTGATCAATTTAATGTGTCCTTGCTAAATAAAAGTATACAGAATTATTATTATTATTATTATTATTATTATTATTATTATTATATGAACTATTTTTCTCATTATTGAAATTAAGTGATTCCTCAAGTTTCCAGAATTAACTGAATTTCACTCTTTGTTTTCCCCTACAGAGATGAAGCAGGTGAACTGGCTCTGTCTGGTGGGTCTGGTGATGGTTCTCTGTGGGGAGAGTCTGCGCAAAGCTGCCATGTTGACAGCAGGATCCAACTTTAACCACATAGTGCAGAATGAGAAGGCCCAGACCCACGTGCTGGTCACCACTGGAGTTTACGCTCTCTTCAGACATCCTATAAAAATGCTGTACAATCAGTTATATTGTGAAATATTATTACAATTTAAAATAACTATTTTTCCTATTTAAATACATTTTAAATTAATTTATTCCTACGATAGCAAAGCTAAATTTTCAGTAGTTATTATTCCAGTCACCAGTGTCATATGATATCATCATATTCTCATATGCTTGCTTGTCTGGTGCTGATCTGGTGCTTATTATCAATGTTAAAAATGTTTTTGCGTCTTAATATGTTTGTGGAAACCTTAATACCTTGATATTCCTTGATGAATAGAAAGTTCAAAAGAACAGCATTTTTTACTGTGATCAATTTAATGTGTCCTTGCTAAATAAAAGTATTTTTTAAAATCATACTTTTTAATGTAGTTTATCTCAGTTTCCACAAAAATATGAAACGGCAAATATGGTTTTCAACATCGATAATAAAAAGAAATGTTTCTTGAGCAGCAAAAGCCTGGAGTAATGGCTGCTGAAAATTCAAATAGAAAACAGTTATTCTAAATTGTAACAGTTCACAATATTACTGTTTTCATATTTTTTTTTATCAAATAGAAGTAGCCTAATGAGCCTTCTTTTAAAAACATA